TAGAAATAAAAAAATAAGCCTGCTACGCGAAGTTGGATTTATGGACTTCGTAACCAGCACTTGCTTCCAAGTGCTTGAAGTTCTTCAACGAAGTTATTCTACTGTGTTATCTTAAAGCCAAGCTGAATTCTACTTTCGTTTGCATATCATTAGCACAAAACAGATCGTTGTTCATTGTATGCTGTAATTTAATCTACAACATTCTTCCTTCTCCATTAAGGACGGTTGACAACTTTCGACATATTTTACTACTTTGAACTTTCATTGATCTTCGTAATTCTTTTTACACAAAAGATGTTATTCAGCTTATTCAAGGAGCAGGCCTAAAGTCGAATACCAGCAAAACAGCTAAAAAAGGTCGACTAATAAAAACAGTAAGATGAACGGACAAGAAAAATTCGAGCCATTAGCCCATCATATTTATCCACTGTTTTGAGGGAGACCAACGTTCTGTCGACTGAGCAGTTACGTTCTAAAAGATTGAAATCTTCCTCAGAGAACAAATACCAGTACCACCGGTATAAATATATATTATAAACTGTACCTCTGAATTGTCAGAAATGCGAAAGCACTTTGACAGGAGTTCATTAAAGAAGGGTAACTGTATAATCTAACTGGCTTCTTTAGAAAAAACGGATGAAATCAAATGCAGTACCTGTAAGTTTGAAGTTATTTATTGTAATTCATTACGTAAACCTGAATGAATTAAGTACCATTTATATAACAGACGCAATTGAAGCGATACTGCCTTGCGATTGTGGCACTATAAATCATATTAGGTGACGCCAAAAAAGGAAATCATATGGACTACAATCAGTAGTGTTTCTACATTTCTGCTATACTAGGTCAAAAAGTTCCTTTGTAACAATAACGAGAGGTGCACAATGCACTGAAAACAAAGTGCGTTTGATTGGTGTCTTCTGCACTTTTACCTGACATCACTGACATGACAAAATAACCAAAGTTGGGGCATGAACAAATTTAGCTTCCTTTTAAATGGAACAATGTAAGTTAGGGGTGGGTGGAAGTGTATAATTCGTTCGCGTTGTATTTTACAGAGGTGAGTTCAAATTCCAGCGTATGGCATAACTCTTTAGGTGCAATTATCCTTGAGCAAGAAACTGTTTCGGCGTTGCGCCCACTTCCCTCGGTGCAGCGATTAGAGCAGTTAACAATCTATGACCTGCAAATAATAGACCAGTTTACTATACATACTAGTGCGGACATACTCTGTGACACGTATGCCTTGCTTCTGACTAAAAATCACGACAAGTCGTATACCGCATATTTGGAAAGGCGCAACATTTCCTAACTTTGTCAGGAGGTAATAGACTGGCATTCCTAGCTGGCGAAATATACAAGAACATAATTATATTGCAAGTGACAAATGCATAAAATATTCCATATGTTCTACTGACATTTTAAAACATATTTGGACGAACCATGAACCTTTTCGATCCAATGTGGGATTAAGGCCTGTGAAAAGTTTCGCCATTTCTATCGACTTTCCTCCATTATATACATTGTTTATCACTCGCTATATAAATACACATGTATATAATGACGCAGAAATGGCCATTGTCATGTTAATATTGGTTAATTAGCAATACGATGAAGTCAAAATTAAGTTTACCAACGACCATACGTCCATGATCATGATTTCCGGATAGCAAAGGTGCATCTTACTCCCTGCTACAGTTATTCTAGGAATGTTTTTCAGCCTTTTGAAACAGCGCGTTTTCATTTTCGGATTATCGTACAGCTTATTAGAGACCAGTGAAATCTGCAGGCCTGATTTTCTGAAAGGACTTTTGAAAAATCCCTGGTTATAAAACTGCCTGCCGCATTACAAAAACCACCACTGCAGCAGCCTCTTGTCTGAATCTGAGTGCGCTGAGCGAGGGCAGTCACTCTCACATCGTAGTACCGGTTACCAGTTCAGAAAGATACCGTCTCCGAAAACCTTACCGATATCAGATCTGCGGTACTTCATAGACACTGACAGATGGGGAAGAGCAAAAGTGATTTCTTGTACAAAGCATCCTCATGAACCATTAGCAATGTGTACATACATATATTAACTATTACACGCATTGCCAACAGGGTCAAATGCAAACCTGACCATTAATGCTCTGCTTCGCTAGCTGATGATGTTTAGACCTGAATGCCGATTTATAATAAAGAATTTTTTCGTTTCTCGTGCTGCTAACTGCTGAATCAGGGCCATCAGCTTCAAATTTCTTTGTCGATTACGATATGCCGTAATGTTTGGTAGAGATAAAACTGCGTTCATGGCAACATTCGCTGGATAAAATATAAACAATAAACAACTATAATCTCATCGGTCATACCATTTACAAGTCGAACCGCCAT